AAAGATTATATACTTAACATAAAAGTTTTTTTATAAATAAAGGTTTGCGATACAAAATTAGTTTTGAATACACATGTATAATAATTATGTACAGTGAATAACTATGTAGGTACTTACTACCTACTTAGTTACCTATATTTATAATTAATTCTGTCAGTCTGTTTATGCTTAGTTTAAATCAGAATGCTTCGATCAGCCGACATCAAAAATGCCTTGTTATCATCCTGGGCACATTATAGTATACCAGATACCTACCATTTTGAAAAAAAATAGTAATTGGAACGTATAGTCAGTAAAAATCATAGATGTTTACATTACAGGACAAGCAATTTAACAGTAACAAGCCACATTTATAATGCATAACTCATCGCAGTGAAGCAGTATTATATCATACTGTTGTATTAATAAATTATATAAGTAGGTATTAGGTGCCTATAATTAATATATTATAATATATGCTCATAAATAAATTATATAGGTGCGTATAAATGTATAATTATGTAACAATCTATAAATGTGATTGATTTGATGTTTAATTGAACGGTATTTTTAATATTTACATATTAGGTACCTAAATACCTAACTAATTAAATATTTATTTATTAACGGGCTGAGCCCTATACAACAGTATAAGACATAACACATAAATATATAACTTATTAATTATATATTTTATACCTTTAAACAGGGATGGCGTTATACGATTTTCACGGGGGGGTGAGATCAAGTATTTTCCGACTGAAATATAATTTATGCCGACTGTAAAAATGTCAACCCGTAATTTCTTAAAACAAACCATGTGAAGTACCTATAAAAATTCTTGGTTTTTCTATATAATGTGTTGAAATTTATATAATAGGTTAAATTTGATAAATATTATACAAAAAAACATAATAAAACATAATAGTACAACATAATAGTTCAACTAAAACATTTTGAATAGTTCTATGCTATAGTATGTTATATTACTAAGTAACAATTGTTACTTGTATATCATACAGCCACTAGCTGTACAGGTACAGGATTGTCTGGATTATTTAAACTTTAAAAATTGTGTATTATTAAATCAATATATGATAAGGGTTATAGGAAACAAAATCTAAAATAAAACTTTGGCATCTGAATGTTACACTTATGGAAGAATCTAGATAAACCACCACCGTGTAAAAATTGATCAGGAACATAATATATTAATATGTGCTTGCCAGTGGTTGTTTTTTTAAGTTACCGATTTGGGCTGGTCGAAACTTGTACCCCCCCTCTATTAAAAACTGAAATGACACCACTGACTGTAATAATAACCTATATAAATATATTGTTACCACCCACAGCCCACAGATAGGTGCTTGAGATGGCGATTAGCGATAGCATACCTATGTACGACGGTACTAAAAAAATTATTATAGGTATTATATACGTATAGGCGTATAGCAATCAGCAGTATTTTGATTTCTAAATCAGTAAACTCTTAAATTGTCAAGTGCGTATAGTTGAAAAACAAGGAATTCTACTTCCCCTTATTTGTATACTAACACTATTGTATGGAGTCAATAGTCATTGATTAAATAATAAATATCCACTTATATATTTAAATTTTTTTATAACGTAGTAAACTATTAACAGTGTCATCCACTGTAATTACCGATTTAGAAATCAACATACTACTGACCGCTAAGGACCCGTTATCGTTTTTATTATTAAAATTATAACCTAAGAAAATCTAGGAAAACAGTTTGTATAACAAGTCGTATAATTTCTGTCAGCTCTCTGTTATTAAGAAAATGCCGACTGATAGTTACGAAAAATGTAAAGGGGGGGGGGGGGGGGTGACAACCCACCATACCCCCATTGCCGCCGGCCTTGCCTTTAAACCATAAGTTATTGAGGAAATAACTACCTAATAAGTAATGAGGTATTAATGATATTATATTATCATTGATATAAGAAAAACAATGTATCAGTCTATGATATTCCAGTTGATTATAAATACCAGTATTTATAATCAATGATATAACTATAAGTATATTTGATGATATTCCGAATAAAGTAATTTATATATAACGTATTAACGTCCATTTATGTGGAACCTTATTTTAAATTTTAAATCATTAGCTATAAAAGTTGAACATTTTATACATTTTTAAATTTTAAATTTGATACCTACATTTTGTCAACAATTGAACTTTAAATGCTAATAAAGAAAATTGTGCATATGTATTTTTAATATTTTTCAAATGTTATTGTAACAATATATTAGGAGCCTTTTATTAATTTTTTAAGCTTTTTGACCCAACAAATACAATTTTATATTCGTTTATAGAAAAAAATAAATAAAAATATTGGAAACTGAATATGAACGTTATTAGCTGAAATCAATAAAAAATATTTTGAAAATTTATCATGTATAGACAATGTTAATATAAACATAAAGTGAAAATTTCTACGGTACCTAATTTGTTTTAGAGTTACACCAAAAATCAAAATCAATTTAGTTGAAAACCAATTTTGCGTATAATTCCTGTTTTTACTTAATTTTTTAATTGTTTTTTTCTGGCGCTGTTGAAAATACACATCATTGTAAAATCAATATATTTATATCTCTCCGCTCAGAATCCAATATATTCTATTATATAGCCTATATTTTAGGATTTTGTATATGTGTGTAGAATAGTATAGCCTTTAGGTATACGGTATACCTATATAATAGTAGAATACTAAAATCATTTGCGCTTAGCTGTATGAGTGTATGACTTGTCCGGCGCGGATCCAGAAGATTTTAACAGGGGGTATTCAAACAAACAAAAAAGGTGCTCTGCTGTACAGTAGGTTACAAGTGGGTCACTGTATAATGGATGGTATTAAATATGAATTCAATGATATAATATCATGGTATAAGAAAAACGATTCTGAACGGAGACAATGTCAGTCTAGGTATAAGACATATTATATAGGTACTTATCTATCGTATTAAAAAAAATTGACCTATAATAGGTACCTACCTATAATAAATTCCAAATTAATCATATCACAATATCCATTAGGTACTTTGGTACTTATAACGCATTAAACATCAACAACAAACCCTGATACTATCATAGATATATAATAGTGTACTTTAGAAGTTTCAAGTACCACGAATAATATTATACAATCACAACAAAATAACTAAAATAGTTATTCTAGTTTTTTTTATGCAATTTCGTCCAAATTTGAACTTAAAATGACTATAAAAATAAACTGTGCTTTTGTATTTTTTTGATTTTTTGGTAACAGAATTAACTACTTATGTGGAATCTTGTTTTAAATTTTCAACCCTTAGATATAAAAGTTGAACATTTTATAAATTTTTAACTACAAAATAATTATTCAATTTTAAATTTGATAAATGTTGTCAAAATTCGATTTTTAAATGCTTATAAAAAAAAACTGTGCCTATGTATTTTTAATATTTTTCAACTTCTATTGTAACAATATATCAGGAGCCTTGTATTAAATTTTTACACTTTTTGGCCCAACAGATAAAACTTTATTGATATTTATAGAAAAAAAAACCCCAAAAAATTAAAAACTGTAAATGTCCGTACACAGCTCAAAAAAGTCAAAATATTTTCAAAATTGTATGGTGTATAGGAAATGCTAATATTCAGTGAAATTTTCATGTATCTATAGTTATTCATTATTGAATAACAACAAAATAAGGAAATCGCTACATGAGAAATCGAGTGAATATCAATGTTGTAAAAATTTGAATTTCAAACGCTCATAAAAATTTAATTTGACTTTCCGGTAGAGATTTTTTTATTGATAAAGGTAGATAAACTTATGAGTAATCTTGTATTAAATTTTCAAATCTTAGATTTAAAAATAACATTTTTATGTATTTCTAACTCAAAAATAATTGCAAATTTTCGTGATTTTTACGTATTTTGTCAAAATTGAACTTTAAATGCTTCTAAGAAAAAATTGTGACTGTATATTTAATATTTTTCAAATGTCATTGTAACAGTATATGAAGAGCCTTGTATTAAATTTTCAAGCTCTTTTACCCAACATTTAAAATTCTATTGGCAATCATAGAAAAAAAACTAAAACAACTGAAAATTCATTATGTCCGTAAAGCGTAAACAACTCAAAACAAGTCAAAATATTTTAATCGTGTGAATTTTATCGTATATAGAAATTAATGCTAATATAAACATTCAGTGAAAATTGCATGTATCTATGGTTATTTTTTTTAGAGTTACACCAAAAACCAAAATCGATTTTGTTGAAAACTGATATTTCTTATAAATTCCCATTTTTCCTTAGTTTTTATTTAGTTATTCTAGGCGCTTTTAAAACTATTGGAATTTTAAATTTTGACTTTCTGAATGAACCAAATATATTCACTTTCCCATCAATCGAGATAGGTACTGTTGAAAAAAATCGAATTAATTGTACTTCCCCAAACCCGGTGATGATAGAAACAAAAAAAAATTTAAAAATTTATAAAAAACAGAATCTAAAAAAAAATGGTTAGGTACACCTTTCTATTTTAAAATTTTGAATACAAATGTTTTTTATTATTGGCTTGGAGTGCCTTGGACTTTTAGAGTGACAGGGGATGCCCGAGCACCCATAGCCCCCCCCTGAATCCGCCCCTGAAGTCAGAATATTGATTATTAATCTAGACCTTGCATCTTAAATCAAATTATTGTACCTACACGTAATATTTTATTAAATATTAAATTCTATATAGAATTCTGAATATATAGATCCTCCCACACACTATTCGACTTACTATAATCAACGAAATAAATTATTTAATAAGATAAAAGGCTATAGTATAATATATTAATATAAAAGCATAGAATATAGATATTTTATCTTTACTAATTTACGACATATAACCCTTTCGTTTTTAAAACTTGATTTAGGTACACTACACATAAATAAGTAATTGCTTAATATGATTAAAAATGCAATAAAATTGCTATAATAAACAAAATGTGAATATATTTTCAAAATTCGAAATTTTGGTCTGGCGGCGAATCGGTGGCGTCGAAACGGTGGCGGCGAAACGGTGGCGGCGAAATGTCCGGCGGCGAAACGGTGGTGGCGAAATGTCCGGCGGCGAAACGGTGGTGGCGAAATGTCCGGCGGCGAAACGGTGGCGGCGAAATGTCCGGGTCCGAAAATATTGTACCCCAGTTCAACGATGGACAGTTCATAAATGGATTTTTTCCCCCAATAACTTTATTAATGTCCTCGGTGCAATAGACGGGACCCACGTAAACATACCTGCACCTCATGATCATTTAGAGCAGCGGTTCCCAACCTGGGGGTAATTATCCCCTAAGGGGTAAAAACACGATTTTTTGGGGGGTAAAAGTATCAGAAAAAGCCTTGAAAATACTGATCCCTTTTTCCACAACGTACATGTGTGAAAGTGGATTTTCAACAATGAAAACAAAAGCAAGAAACCGATTAAACTTGGAACACGACCTAAGATGTGCATTGGCCGAAATTGAACCGAATATTAAAGAAATTGTTAGAAAAAAGCAATATCAACAGTCTCATTAATGTTCATTGCCGTTATTCATTAGTCGTAATAAAAACTATTATTTTCTTTGTTTGAAAAAATTAAATAAATTATAATTATTATCATAATATATATTTTGTTTTGTTTTTTTTTACTCAACTTTTTTTTGGGTCGGGGGTATATGTTATTATCTAACCTGACTTATGGGTAATAGTCTCAAAAAGGTTGGGAACCGCTGATTTAGAGTTTATTTTAACAGAAAAGGTCACCACTCAATTCAACTTCAAGTAAGTATGTTACATATTTTTTTGTCAAGATGACAATATAGTATTATGCCATGCTAGTATGTTTACCTATAAACTTTCTGTATTTGAATTGGATACTAATTTAATAAATACTACTTTTTTATAGGCTGTTTGTGACCATCAGTGTAAGTTTATTCACTGTTATGCCCAGTAGCGGACTGGCCCGGTGTGCCACTATTCTTTAGCACAGAGGGCCGGTACCAGCTTATATGTTTGGGCCACTAGCAAAGATATCTATAATTTGATATTTGTACTTTTTGATGTGAAAACATCTTATGTGGCGTTCAGACTTTTCCGTTTGGGCAGTGAATTTTTTCGAGCGTTACCCTTTTCGCGTAACGCTAGCGCTTCCGACGTGCTGATTGGCGGAGACTCGGTGCGATGCGACGCAACGATAGGCCGCCTGTGCTCAGGGGGCGTGGCTTCATTACGATCACGGACATCGAACATAGTGCGGGCGAGAGCGTCAAATTAGTTCATCGTTGACAACCAACGTGAACAGTTAACTAAAAATGTATTGTATACATACAATATTACTATTTGATCACATGCGCAGGCGCGCAACTACGAACGCGTCGTACTCGTACATCGTCCGTTGTCGCGCGTTGGTAGTTCTCGAGGGCGTTTTTCGTTGATAAACACTATAAACAATAAACATGGTCCAGGGCTTGAAACCGTTATCAAAATTATCGGTTAACGCTAGGAAATTCTATAACGTCGGTAAACGTTGAAACTTTGATAACAGAGAAATTCGAAATGTTTGTTTGCTAAGCAATAAAGTAAACATTTCAAACGCCATGATCCAGCGTTTTGTTTGTTCAGTAGTTCAGTTCCAACAACCAATACCTACCGTGGTTGAATTTGCTTAAACTTTTTTAATCAAAAGTACCTACCTATATTTATTGATGTGAAAATCGTTTTGCATGACAGTGTAAATTTTCGAGTGTTACCTTTTTCGTAGGTACCGAGCAAATTAACTATGGAGTTAATATTTTCGGACTTGTAATTTTTTTTTTCAAAATTTTTCGAAAAACACCGAAAATTCTTTTGCCACTAACAGACTAATCATGACGTCCGACTGGGCGTCAACCTTGGGGGAAGGTCAAGATCGGAATTCCTGCCGAGCGAATTTTCTATGGAGGTAATATTTTCAGACTTGTAATTTTTTTCCATATTTTTCGAAAACCACCGAAAATTCTTTTGCCACTAACAGAGTAATTCGGACGTCAGTCTGGGCGTCAACATTGGGGGTAGGTCGAAATTGGAATTCATACCGAGCGAATTTTCTATGGAGGTGATATTTTCAGACTTGTGATTTATTTCCAAATTTTTCCTTCAAATTCTAAGCTCATATAATATATGTTTTCACATCTTACGAGGGTCGCTTGAGACACACGCGTTTTTTATATTATAATGATATATATTCTGCAAAATTACTTACAACATGGTGCTAAAACGTGCGACCCTTGCAAAAACTTTTTTTCTTTTACTTTCTGTGTACCTATTCAATTAAATTTACCTGCCCGTTAACATAGAGTATAGATTATAGATTATAGATATCAACATTTAAAACAATTATAAATATTTTGTTATCGTCCACTCCTATCGGGGATTTATTATTATTATTATTATCACAAAATAACACGTAACTATCACATAATATTCTGTGTTATTATGCCATGAATAGCAACGTAGGTATCTATAAGCAGGGTTGGGCACTTTTCAATTACTTAAGTAATTTGTAATTGGTAATTGATTATAAAATGTTGATGTAATTTGTAATTGATAATTAATTACATAATATTTGTGTAATTAGTAATTTATAATTACCAACAATTACTTTCTAGTATAAATTTAAAATTGAACTGTACAATCAAAGTTTATGTTTCTATCAATTCTATCTAGTGATAAATGTAATGGTTAGTAATTTGTAGCGATACCTATCTCATCGATGTCCTTCACTGATAAACGTCTCGTTATCTCGCATAGACGCATAGTGGTAAATAATATTTTTTTGGGACTGTAATTATTTTACTTACTATTTTTTCTTTATTTATTAATAAGTAAGTAATTACTGTAAATTTTTCCTTATTTATTAATAAGTAAAAAATTACTAAAATGAACGCTGATGAATTTTCTCAAAAAAATATCAACCATCCAATTTTTGATGGAACATTTTTTACTATTAAGAAAATCGATAATGATAATGTTCGAGCTCTTTGTATTTTGTGCAATAATGAAAAGGCTGTGATTTCTGGTTCCATTCAAGTCAACTCAAATTTTCGGACTCATATTATCTATTATCAAATAATATCAAATATCAAATAATATAATCCAAAATCGTCTGAAATCATCCTAGTTCAACTAGGTTGTAGTCTTATTTATCCTACGCCGATACGTCGGAATTCTATGTTTGACTATCTTAATCATTTAATAACGTTAAGATAAATAATCTCGTTAAATGCCTCAATTTAAATTTTGTGTTTGAGGAATCTGATTACGAATACTTAGAGGAATTAGTTAAAGTCTTAAAGCCAATAGAACAGACATTAGACTATTTACAATCTGAAAAAAACTGTTATTACGGTCAATTAATACCAACTTTGATTTCTTTAAAACTTCGTCTTGAAGAATTAAAAAATCAAAAGTTACGCTATTTATTTAATCTGATTTCCCCTTAATTTAATAAATTGCATGATAGATTTAAAAAGTATTTTAATTTATCACATTAAGCCAGTAGCGCAACCAGAAATATCCTTTGGGGGGGGGGGGGGCCAAAATTATATTACAACAGATATAAACATAAATAATTGTGTTAATAATAAATGTATTTTTTATTTGTGTTACCATATTAATAATAAAATGTATATATAAAAAAAATATAATGAAAATATATCAAATAAAATTATAAAATAAATTCTAAACGACGCTTTAAATTCGATAAACGCTGTATTACTTCTTCGGACTTGACATCAATATCATAGTGAATATTGAGAGCAGCTAGTCCATTCAATCTCGATTCGGACGTTGAGTTTCTTAAGTAAGTTTTAATGCGTTTGAGTGTAGAAAATGATCTTTCAGCTTCGCAAGATGTGACAGGAAGTGTGACCAGTATTTGCAAAAGCTTAAAAACATTTGGAAATAAATCTGAATTGCAATTATTCAATATGTTGATGGCATTTTTTGTTTTAATGTTACTATCATCTAGATAACGATTCCATAGTAAAATTTCTGATTTCACAAGATCTCGTAGATTGTTTACATCGACATTCAATTTTTTTAATTCAGTAATTATATAATTCGCTAAACTTTTACCACTCACATCATGTACTGGAATAAATTTTAAAAAATCTTCACGAATATTTTTGTTTTTCTTATCATAATAACGGGCACATAGAGCAAACTGTTCAGTACCCGATATATCAGCGGTTTCGTCCGCTATTATTGAAAAAAAATTACTTTCATTAATTCTATTTACAATTTTTGATGAAATAATTTCATAACAAATGCTAACAATTTCATTTTGTATTTTCCAACTTATGTATTGTGCATTTCTACCACAATTTTCTCTTGCTAATATAAAACTTTCATCGCCGGATGTAGCAGTTGCCTTAAGGAAAAATCTCAATAACGCCAAACAAAATTTATTATACTTACAATATATTATTATATTCCCAAATTAATTAAAAAATGTTCCATTTTATAAATACTCAAGGGGGGTCTGGACCCGGGGACCCCCCCTTTGGTTGCGCCACTGCATTAAGCTGATGATGCTATTTTGGCTACGTGTTTTCATCCATTCTTTAAAATGCGATGGATTCCGAAAGGTCTAACTGAAGCTGATAAACAAAGAATACAATTGTTATGTATAAATGCTGCTTAACAAATAAATATACCTAATAATGAAATTTCTACTTCCGATGTATCCGACAACGAGGGAAGTTTATTAATATGCATGTCACCAAACCGTAGTAACGCTGTAACAGATTCCTCAACAAGTATTGAATTACAGATATTGCAATTTTTTAACGACAAAAATAAAAGTTTACACGTTTAAACAATTATCCTGTTGTGAAACAATTATTTATTAATTATAATACTAATATTTGTTCGTCAGCACCGGTAGAGAGATTGTTTTTTTTGCTGACTTCATAATGGCACCTTCTCGTTCCCGGTTGTCTGACGAACAATTCGAAAAACTAGTATTTTTAAAAGGAAATCAAAATTACGGGATTACCTCATTTTTCTATGTACCTATATTTTTCTAATATTTTTTTGTTTTTTTGATTTCATTTATACACTATTTTATATAAATAATTTTTAAATGTAATTGGTAATTTTAAGTAATTCAATTATGTAATTTGTAATTTGTAATTAAATATTCTACAATCATGTAATTAGTAATTTCTAATTAAATACTGGTATTTTGAGTAATTTGTAATTTGTAATTAATTACTTTTTTTTT